GGAATGCCTCCCCTGCGGGACCCAACTCTACCAGCAACTTACAATTTTCTTCAAGGAGTCATCAACCGGGCCTCGGAGTCCTTCAATCAATCAGAGGCCCCACCAGCATTGTCTGCATCACTCTGAGACCTCCCCTCCTGGCCCTGTGCCCTGCTTTGGGCACTGAGGGTTCCTCCAGCTCTCGTGGGGGTAAACCTAGCTGCTGCTGGCTGGGTTTACCTAGCCTTATGCCTAGGCTTTCTCTTTCCCAGGCTCTGCTCTAGGCTCCAGGGCTCTTTTAGTTCTTTGGCTGGGCCATGCTATGGGGCTCCAGTTACCTAAAAGCTGCAGGGGGAAAGGCCGGGGGGATGACACTAGAGCAGCCCTCCGCTCCCTTCTGCAGGGAACAGAGCTGAGTGGGGTGTTGCCTGGCCCCTCCAGGATTGTGCAGAACGTCTGCCTGCACAATCCCAGGCTTTTCCCCACTGGCTGCTTAAGGGGTGGGAAAGTTGCCCTGGGCCAGCACTCTGAGGCAAGGTGGGGGAGGCATGCATCTGTTGATGATATGAAGCTTTTCAATCTCCCTCTCTGCTTCGTCATACTATCTGCAGCAAACTGACAGGCAAGCAAGCCAGCCTGGGGGCTGATAGTGATAACATTCTTTATCACCCAATTAGCAAAACAATGGCCTCTCTCCATTACTTCAAACTTCTTAAAAAGCTTACTGGCTGACCTGTTGAGTAGCTCCAAACAGCCCTAAGAAGTCACTGTTCTGTCTGCTTGCCACAGTGAAACTGGAGACACACGCACAGACACCTCTCTGCATTAGCTAGCATACCACATTCCTAGGTTCTGTGGGGCTGGGGTCCATGCTGTGGGAGATGGGAGGGAAGGAAGTGTGGGGGTGGGATTTCCTGCTTGAGCAGTGTAGGGTTGGGCAGGGGAAAGCCAGGCAGACCCTGCTGTGTCTGCAGTCTCTGCTGGAGCCTTATACAGCATTAGCTAGCACACCACATGCTGGCTATGATCTGTGCTGTGGCAGAGAGAAGGAAGGGATCCCTGCTTAAGCAGTGAGTGGTGAGGGGGCAGGAGGCATGGGGAAGCCAGCAGACTCTGTTGTGCCTGCAAGTCTCTGCTGGAGCTCTGGCTAGGGAGCAGAGGGGAGGGGCCAGCTCTGCTGTAGAGCAGAGAGCTCTGCTGAGCCCAGAGAGCATGCCAGGGTGCTGGGGAACTCTGATTTAACTTAAACCAGCAAGGTGTCTGGGACAGACATTGCTTAAACAGGTTTGACCCAAATCAGTTAAGTCTAATACTACGTTCATAGATTTCATAGATTTCATAGACATCAGGGCTGGAAGGGACCTCGGAAGATCATCGAGTCCAGCCCCCTGCCCAAAGGGCAGGAAGTCAGCTGGGGTCATAGGATCCCAGCAAGATAAGCATCCAGTTTGCTCTTGAAGGTGTTCAATGTAGGCGCTTGAACCACCTCCGGTGGCAGGCTGTTCCAGACCTTGGGGGCTCGGACAGTAAAGAAATTCTTCCTTATGTCCAGCCTGAAACGGTCTTGTCGTAGTTTATGACCATTCGACCTAGTCCTCATCCCTTGGGGCGCTCTGGTGAACGAACGTTCCCCCAGATACTGGTGGTCACCCCGATAAACTTATAGGTGGCCATCAGATCACCATTTTCAGATAGGTTTATGTGCACTGAACATCTGTTCTGTTACAAGTTTAAACCAGTTTCCGATCATTTAAATCAGTTTATGTGTAATGTCTGTCCCTAGCCCTAGGCACATTTCCTGGTACAGGTCCCTGTCTGCTATCTTTTCCTGCATGGGGCTCTGCAGCCCAACCACTACAAACTCTGAAACCCCTGCCTCAGCTGTCCAGAACCTCCAGTTGCTTAAACAGGCTCCCTAAATTGCACATCCCTGTGGATGCTCTGCATTTTTCAGTTAACCCTTTCAGAGACAGGCAAGCAAGCAAGGACTTTAGGATTTTTTGACTGCAATGACTTTTATTCTTAAGAAAACACTTGAGTTACAGATGCTGGTAAAATAGAAAACCCTCCTGAGAAGTAACCCCCCTTATTCTGGACTCTTTCTTACTTGGAAGTCAAGGCTTGGTCAACTGCCAGGCAAGCAGAGCCCCTGTCTTTATTCCATATACTGCTGGACCACCCACCCTTTCTCTTACTCCCTAAACTCCAATCACTTGCCATATACTAACAGTGAGAAATTCCAGACCCTTCCTCCCAATAGGCTGCTGTCTGTGATCTATTTTCACAGGTGCTGGGCATCCAAATGTGATGATATTTAATGACTCTATTGAAGCTTCTCAGCAATGGCATAAGCAGTGGTAGGCAGATGGGGCATCAGGCTCAGATACCCACTAGAGGAGGTGCAAGAATGGCAGTCATCGCTACCACCAGCAGAGCAGCCACAGTTGCTGTAGGTAACTCAACTCCTGCTGCTGCTGCTGTCCAGGTCACAGACCCTGGTTTTAACATCTTTACCATAAGTGCAAAGACCCTGACACACAGTGGGTATAAAGGGTACAGCAATGGTCTCCATCCAAAATGTAGGATGTGGCATTTGAATTTAGAAGTGTTAACACAAACATTCTGTCAGTTATAAATCCAAACAAGTAAACCCCCTCTCCAGCCCCCGCCCCCTCGTAAGCCCCTCCCACAGTTTTGTCCAAAAATCTAAAAGCCATTTTCTTTCCCCTCCCTTTTTTCTCAACCCCTAAACAACACTCCTTGCACTACTCCTCTTCTCCTCTTATGGAATGCTTTGCTTTCCCTTGTCTCCCCTCCCAACCTATTAACCCCTCTCCAACCACTTTCTGCTAGCTGCCTAATCCTCTCCTACCTCCATTTGAATTCAGTCTTGAAAATCATCCTCCTCCACCTTTACCCACATCTGTACCTTACCTGCCTTTTCCAACTTCCCCTGTATTCTGCTACATGCTACCAGTCTCTATCAACCATCTTCCCAAAGCCACCTCTTATAACTTTCCTTTTTCCTAAGTATTCTCAGGCTGCCATTCTCCATTCTTCTGATCACCAGGGATCCTGGTTTTCTGTTTCCCATGGAAAAACAGAGAAAACTATGGATTTCCCCTTTTTATCAGAGAAAATGCGGATTTCTCCTTTTAGCAGAGAAACCCACGGATTCCCTGCTTTTGCAAACAGTTCTGCAGGCTGGTTGAGTTCCAGCCTGCAAGAGCTGTTTGCAAACAGGGTGGGAAACTCCCAGCCCTGCCTGGAAGGGAAGGGGAAAGGGGAAGGGTAGGGCCTGAGGCTGTCAGCCACAGCTCCACTTAGCTCAGCTTCACTCTTCGCTCCTGGAGCCTGAGGTAAGTGGGGCTTGAAGGGGACTGGGGGCCCCTCTGGCAGGGCTGGGGGGTTGTGGGTCATGGCTGGGGGGCACTGGCAGGGCTGAGGGGGCCAGGAACTCACCCTACCCCCACCTGAGCAGGCAGAGCTACCTGGGGCCCCCTCCAGCAGGGCTGGGGGGCAGGGGCTGTGGGTAGGGGTAAGAGGCATGAGTAGGGTGGGGGGCTGTTGTGGGGGCGAGTGAAGGGCACCAGCAGAGCTGGGGGGTGGGGGCTTCAGGGAGCTTTTAATTTTAATAATGGATTTTGGGGTTTTTATCAGAGAATCTGCAATATTTTTTTGTCAGAGAATTTGTGATTTTTTTTATCAGAGAAAACCAGGATCCCTGCTGATCACCCCCCGCAAAGTTACTTCCTCCCACTTCATGTCATATCAAACAACCTCTTCCTTCGCCCACTTAATGCTTCACCTCTCTCCTGGACCCAGAATGTAACAAGGCAGCTGGGCACATGAGGCAACAGCAAGTTCTAGCTGCCGCTGTGCGACAAGTATGATTGTGCAGCTATGGTGGCAGTTGCTATTTTTCGGCTCTCTACTACCAATAGGACGTAGGGTGGCTGCCCTGGCCATCCCACCTTAATTACTTACTGCCTGGACCTTGACCTGTTTCTCCCTATCCCATCTCTATCTCTCTCTTTCTTTCTCTCTCTCTCTCACCCAAGCACTTTCCTTTGCTCCCCTCTACTCTTCTTCCCTGGTCTACCCATCCTTACACTATCCTGACTTCCATCCATTGTCTCCCCCAAATACCATTTTTCTCTTTCATGCGTGCCAGCTCACATTCTGCCAATGAGCAGACACTTCATAGTTGGTCAGTCAAGACCCAGAACAGAATGTGAAAATGAGATTCATACTCTTCAGAAGCAACATAGGTCGCAAGGGTTTGCCCAGGTCATGAAGTTCCAAGTATGAGACATGGATCCGTGCTTCCTTAGTGTCAGAGAGTGTTTGGATCCAGTGTTATAACCAGTGGTTCTCTGTAGCAGAAAGGTTATTTTACAAAAATAACAGAAACACTGATGCTTGTAACCAAACCTATCAGTGTCCATCTTTAAATTGTACTTCTGATTAGGGCTGTCTCGGGGGGGGTGCAAATTGGGCTACCGCCCTGGGCCCTGTGCTTTGGGGGCCCCTGCAGAGCCAGGTGCAGTGGCTGCGGCCCCTCCTGCAGTGCCTGCCTAGTGCTGGTGACGCCACAATGTCACCGCCAGTTTTGTGTTCTGCGACTCACCACCACCCTTCCACCCTCACCCGCCACCACCGCTGGCTTCTTTGCATCTGGGCTCTGCACAGGTTGATTTGCCCTGGGCCCTGGGCCCTGCACCCTGCTAGGGTCATCTCTGCTTATGATGAATTCATTTAAGATAAACTGGGCAGGTACTAACTCAGCAAAGCTCTTATGGACTCACCTAAAGGGAAGAAGCCAGAAGAGGAGGCTAACTCAGCATTTGTCTTCTGAATAAACTTTGCTATAAATGAATAGTGAATTGTTGTCTAGTGCTGGCCAACAGTTAACATGGACAATATCCTCCAGCCTTAAATCAGATAGAAGTATCAAGACCACTGTCACCTGGCTTCTTATGAGCCACAATACCCATTATATTGTACATAACCTGCCACCCCATACTATCTAGAGCCTTTTCTAATTCAGAGACAGACTGACTAGTTCACTGTATTAATTATGTATTTCTTCAGATTAACACAGACTGTTGGATTCTGTTGTCTAATGGCTGTAAGGACACTTTTACATGTGGTCTGAGGGTCGGGGGGTGGGGTGCTTTATTAGAGTAGCTCCAATGCGCTGGAATTCCAATGCATCGCAGCACCCTTGGCGCTTATGTATAGGCACCCTAAATGACTGTTCTTGATGTTACAGTGCCTGCAGCTGCAAGGTTTTCCAGAATGTGTCTGTATCCAGTCTATATCTGTTATTTTCTTTGGGACTCAGAAGTGTCCAGAGGGACAGTGCTTTTTCCTGGACTTCCTGATGTTCTGTCTCCTGCCAGGGCCATCCCAGTACACATTTGTCAAGACATTTCTCTCTGATCCCTTTTTGAATTACTACATTTGCAGAAGTTGCATCGTCTTTCTAGTTGGACTCCAGCACCTTATCTTTACAGGTAAGCATTACAAAAGAAGAAGCAAGATGGTAGGAGGTCAGGGACTCAAAATGAGTTCCCAAGTCCACCTCTCAAAGGGCATTTATACACATGTTCCAGGAGGGGGGGCGAGGGGGGAACTTTATTTAGAGTGGCTTTGTGGAATTTGACATATGCTGATTGAAATTAATATTGTAACTGGTCCATTCATTGTTAGTTGCATCTTGCTCCCCTGCAGGCACTTTCCCCTGGCGAACAGTTTGTTTTTTTAAATTACCTATTTATAAAAAAACAAACCAATTAAAACCCCCAAACCCTAAATCCTATTTCATATATGATCCATTCCAAACTATGTACAAGAATCCACATCAAAGGTTGAAGAAAGAAGTAAGCACAGACTAGCAAGCAGTTTCATATATAAATCAAGGCCCCAAGTCAGGAAACAACTTGAGCAAGCGTTTAAATTTAAACTACAACTTATCAATCCCTCCCCCACAAATATCTGTGAGATTTGTTAAAGTTACTTTCATTTTTTCATGGTTTGGAGTTTTTTTAAAGGTTTTTGCATTTTTTTTATTGGAAACTTTTATAGTAAACTTTATCAGAACTATCACTGAGTTGGTTGTTGAAATGTTCCATTTACAGAAAATCTCTCTTTGTAAACTTTTTACTGAAACTGGGTGCATGAGAAATTCTGATACTGTTTGTGAAAATTTTAATATGTTTTAAATCAAACATCTGTAAAACTTTTAAAAATCTCCAAAAAGTCAATATTTTTTTTACCCCCAATTTTTGATTTTGGAAAATAAAGTCAATTATGAAGAAAAATTTTGGTTAGGAAAGTTTAAACTCTCTCTCCTACAGCCCCCTACTGAATTAGGGTTACCATATTTCCAGGATCAAAAAAAGAAGACACGGGGGGGGCAGGGTATATGATTGGGGGGCAGTGATATGCCTGTGCCCTGCCTCTGCCCCTCACTCCCAAACCACAGCCTCCCACCTGCCCTCCCCCCCAGCCTTGCTGGGGCCCCTCACTCCCAACCTGCAGCCCCCTGCCCCACAGCCCTGCCAGTGCCCCTCATGAAATGCTGCCCTGCAGCAGGAGGCTTTCCTGAATTGGAATCTCCATCCTTTTTCTTTAGATGCTATTTTGCTGCTGTTTTATGCATTGCTTGAATCTTAGATTATATATCTCATGAAGCTATGACACAGCCACCATTCCAGGGCTTGGTTTCCTGTTCCTGTGCATCCCAACACCTTTACTATTGCCATGTCTGTCAATATTGAAGCAAAATGTTCTCAGAAAGGGCACAATTCAGGAACTTCCCTGTGTCATGTGTTTAGTTGTGGATGATTCTGCATGCTGACCATGATGTGCATCTGATTTATCCAAGCTAGGTGCTCTAACTGTTCTTCCCTTCTTCAAGGACACTGTTGGGCCAGTAGCGTTTCCCTGACTTCCAGACTGCCAAAATGGCTCCATGTAAAGCATGCACGTTAATCATTGCTTTTTCTGAGTGGCCATGCTGAGAGGCCAAGAAACAAAAAATAAATAGAAAGCGGGTGACATTAGCAACCAGCGTGCCAGAAGTCTACAGCTGAGTGAAGTGCTGAGGGTTAAAATAACGCAAGAAAAAAGATGCAGCATATTCCAGGCAAAATAACAGAAGGATGATTTTATAATTCCAAAGGGACTTTTCTCCTGAAGTGCCACGTAACAATCTGCACCCAATCCTCCAGTGAGTGACCTGGGTGGAGTTGTGTTTATCTGCTCAGAATCTACGCTTGAAGGCAGAAACCAAAGTCTCTTGATCCTGCCCTTGAGATTCACACATGCTGGGTAGCCAGATCGGGTCCTTCTTGTGTTCCACTTCATAGAATGGACAAGCCTTCAGATGTTCAGACATGCAGGGAACTTCATTGAATTGCCACTTGTTAACAGGCGAGAACAGGCTGCTAAATTGCCAAATCTAGTATGGGGGGGAAAAAAGAGAAGGCTTAAACATATTAAACATAGGTAGCATTACATAAAATTTAGGGTTTTACAAATCAATGTTCAGATACTATAATGGGTCTTCCTCATGCTCATTTAATTGGACTGACTAATGAAGTCATGTTAATTAAGAACTGATGCAACAGAATGGAAAATCTGTATGTACTTTATATACACAGAGAAATGTGCAATAAAACAGTAAATGTAAAATGCTAATATATAAATATCTATGCCTGATTACAATTACATTAAAATGGTATTATATTTGAGAGTATTTACCAGTAACTTAAAGGTAAAAATGTTACAGTGCTGTTGCAATTTCCCCCAAAATAAGCATTTGAAACCTAGGAAATTTACAGTGAAAGTCATGTGTAAAGGAAATTCAAGCATGTAAGGGTACAAACACATAGTTAAAGTACCCAAACAACCATAAATTTGCTCTCTAGGGATATTGTGCATTAAAGACAGGATAATGTTTAAGAAATGTTAATGTTTATGGTTTCCCGTTAGATTAAACTGACTTGTAAAGGCATTAGAATTTTTTCCTCAATATTTATTTCCTGTATAGAGGAAAGATGATAATTGTTTGAATTAAGTCTGATATCCTAGTGACTCCACTTAAGAATTATTTGAGTTTGTCTATGGTCTCTAATATGGCAGCAATTACATTCAATACTTAGTAGTTTTGTTTAACTATGAACTATTTTTTCAACGATAGCTGTGCAAAAGATTCAATGTTTTGAAAAATAGGTTGAATACTTTTCTAAAATACATGCTCTAGTTCAAACAATAATTAATTCAGGGAAATGTGGCCTTTATTAAGCAGGAGTTTGGATTATATTAGAGGCATGAAAGACATGGGCTACAAAACCCTTTCATCAGGCTTGTGAGACTGGTAGCAGAGCTTGCAATTCGGGGGTTGGGCGAGCAGTGTATGGCCTGATGATGAATACCCAGCAAGCCCAATGGACATGCATGTTGTGGGGGGGGAGTTGAGGCAGAGGAAGATGTTAATCCCTGTGGCACTGCTTGGTCTGCATCATTCTATTTGTAATATTTTTAAAGGAAGGAAGGACTGATATAAGTGCTAAATTTATTAAGGTTTTAATTAAGCTTTAACTCATAAGCAAAAGATTTGCCTTGAATTTTCTGAGAATTTACTTCTTTTACTTCAAGTGTAAATGCTGTTACCTTGGGGAGTGTAGTAGGGCACTAAGGTGCCTGCTACTGAGAGAGCCAGGAAGACTCCTCAGGTGCCCGTAGCTGAGGTAACTAGAGGGAGCTAATGATCTGCACCTGCCTTGCCAGCTGACAAGGGGCAGGGCCTGGCTCCTATATAAACCACAGGCAGGGGGCCAGGCGGCAGTTCTCTACCAGCAGCTACGGAAGGAGGAGCTCTCTGCCAGAAAAGAGAAGCTGAGCTGGGATGCTAGAGCAGCGTTGGTCACTGCGGTGGGATAGAGAACCCTGGTAGGCCTGAGTGTAGTTTGGCTGGAGGCTTAAGTTGTGTTGTAGCCCAGGGGCTTGTGTTTATGTTACTATTTGTTACACCGGTGGTTTGGGTGAGGCTATTAGGGGATGGAGGAGACCTCATAGGGGATTCACAGTAGAGTGGGGACCCCAGCACCAGTGAGGGTGCAGCATTTGGGGTGTACAGACCCCAGCCCCAGAGAAGGGCAGTTGAGAAGCCCCAGGGTGGGCGTGGTGAGCCCTGAAAAGGGGGCGGCATAACTGAGAAGGCCTGTGCAGGCATGGTGAGGCCTGGAGAGAAGGGCGGCGTTATTGAGAAGGCCCAGAGAGAGAGAGAGAGAGAGAGAGAGAGAATGAGAGACAGGGCTGTGGAGAGCCCGAGCGCTAGAGAGGGTGTGAAGATAGAGAGAGGGACAGAGGCAGGGCCATTACATCTGCGAGGCTTGGGGCGTGGTATTGGGGTGGTAGGAGCCACGCATAGCCCATAAGGCTTGAGTGCATGGGACACCCCTGACAGGAGAACCATGGCCAAGAAGACAGAAGGTAGCCTCCCTATAAAATATTTAAAAAATCAAAGACGTGGCGGATGAGAATCGGCGGGTGCAAGACCGCTTGGCACGGTGAAGGAGGCGGCAGGGGAGAGCACGGTGACCCTGATGTCCCTCCTGTTACAGGGAGGACACTCTGTATTATCATACAAAACAAAGAATTTGACTTTATGTACAAAATTAAGTATAGCTATAACCATGGAGTCCCAAACAGTGCCTCCATATCAGTAGGTGCTTGCAACTGTACTAATTTACATTAACAATTAGAAGAGTTGTCATGCCTCCTGTTTCGGGGCATAAAATTTCCCTGTAAACTGCACAAATGGCAATAGCACTTGGGGCTATAGTGGGTCAAAATTCAACATGAGTCAACAATTTGAAGCTAAAAAATAAAAGCAACACCTAGATATGATCCACAAGCTCAGCCTAGAGATTTAAAATAGGTCAAAAACATAGTTTCAAAAACATTTTGGCCTGCTGTGGGCATTGAGAGTTCTTGGCAACATAAGAATTTCTCTATTTTTATGTAGTCAAGAAACAACTCAAAGCTAAGAGCTGGCAATTTTTTAGGAGTGTCTTTAGTCTAAAAAGGTTGAGAACCACTGACCTAGGGGATCAGGCTGTGCTTAATATTGGGAGGCAAGGTGTCAGAGAGAGATTATGGGTAGGGACTTACTTAAATCACAATTTTGCAATTTTCATGGAAACCACAAAAAACAGCAATCTCTGCAGTCACTGTGAAAAATGGCATTGGCTGCAATTTCCCAGGAAATCAACCAATAAAACCCCTAACTTAATAAAATGCTAGCTGCTCCTCATTGCTGCTGTGGCCCAGCCTCATAGCCTGCTTGGGAGGGGAAGGCACAAGCTGATGAAGCAGCAAGAAGGGCAGCAGCCAAGATGGCAGCTGCACCCTTGTGCCTGTCTGCCAATCAGCATCAGGGCCATAAAAAGGGTAGCCAGCAGTCAAGATGGTGGCCACCCCCCTGTCCCCCCTCCCCCTTAGGCCTCTCCACCTGTCAACACCAAGAGGTGAAGCCTCTGCCAATCAGTGCTGAAGGTTGGGGCCACCTTGATATGATTGCAAAATTGGATCTGAGCGCTGTGACCAAGCGGTGAAAATTGCTTTCTCTCGCACCGAGTTAGATAGGTCCTTAATTATGGGTGTGTTCTGGTAAAGTAAAGAAACAGGACCCCGGACTGTATGAAGTTCTGGTTTGTCTTGGTATGTGAGGGGGGACAAGATTTCATACCAGGTGGTTCATTAATTCTAGTAGAGGATATAAAATACCTCAGTAATTCTTCTGCTTATCCTCTTCATGTAGAACAGACTGATGTCTACCAGTGAGAGAGATCAGAAACCATGTTTCCTCTGTGAGTGCTGTGTTCACCAAAAATCACACTACATTTATTGGGCGTCAATACAGATATTTGAAAGACCAAGGAGAGCTTCTTCATTGAGAGCTCTCTGTTAATTGAAAAAGTGGGATGACTTTAACCCTCACCACTCTCATGTTGTGCTGTAAAACCTACCCCTATACCACAACATATCCTAATGAAGTAGAGCACAATTAACAGATTTCACTCTCAAAAAACCAAAACCTAGAAAAAGTCAGAGAACTTACATTAAGGTTATGTTTACAGGATGACTGAAAATGAGCTGCCCTTCTTGGCAGTTTTCACTACATGTTTATAAGTCTTGCGACTCTAAGGACTATGGTAAAAAGCACTTCTGAAATTATAACCGAATGAAATATGTCAAAGTTACTAAACTAGTGATTTATTTTGCTATGGGAAGAAAATAGGATGCTAGACTGTGCTGCAATTGGTCAGTTCTACTGCAACAATTCTTGTGTTCCAGAACCTTTTAATTCAAAAGGTGAGCAAGTTTTGAATCAAAAAACTTGTTTCTCAATAATTTGTGCCTTGGTGATTAGGCAACCAACATCAAACTGTGCAAAGTCCAGTGGCACAATACCTCCACACAGATCTATACACACTGATAGTTTCATTGAAAAAATTCACTCTAACTGCAGAATGAAAACAGTTTCAACCATGAATGACTGGTGCCTCCCACAACTTGGGTGGGGGGCGGGGTGGCAGTGAGCAGGGACAGCCCACAGCCATGGGGAGGGAGGGGGGGAAGGTGGCGAGTGGTGAGCAGCAAGTGGGGACTGCCCACAAAAGCCAGCAGCAGCATCGGCAGCAAGGTGGGAGCGGGTGTGAGTGGTGACCACCTGCAGAAGCTAGCAGCAGCATCGTCAGTGGCCAATCTCAGGGGGGGCACATTTTCTACCCCCCCCGTGCCCACCCTACACATTGCCTGTAGTTTCAACTGTTCATAAAAGGTGTAAATGAGCCTGTAACTTTGAATTTGCATCCCTTTATCTTAGCTGACACACAACTCTCAGCCACCATTCCTATTTGCTGAATACACTGGTAATGTAAGATTAGTGAAAAGAACTGATGCTTTGCAAATGGCTAGTTCCAGACAGTCAACTATGGCAAACCTTTCAAAAGTATGTAAGTTGTTTAGGAACCTAAAACCTATAAAGGATGGAAGACTGGATCCACCTCAAAGGAGGAGTATTCTGCCCTGTAGGGAGCGAACCAGGAAAGCCAATGCTGTGACTGAGCTCCAACTGGCTACACATATCAAGGACAATAAAAAGTCCTTTTTTAGGTATGTGGTGAGCCAGAGGAAAAGCAACGGTAACATTGGACCCCTGCTAAACTAAATGGGACAATTGACAAGCGATGCCCAAGAGAAACCCATTAAGCAGGTTGGCTATTTTGCGTCAGTTTTTTACCAGTCCCAAGGGACAGCCCTGCTCAATACGGTACAGGACGGCCAGGGTGAGGGAGAACTATTACCTTACATCAGTGTAGGCAATGTGAAGGAACACCTTGAGAGGCTGGACACCTTCAAGTCAGCTGGCCCAGACAGTTTACACCCCAG